CCAATACTTTAACTCCAAAAGAGCTCTAAAAGCTGAAATCACTAATTTGCAGGATAGTAAGGGCCTTATAATTGAAAATGAAATTGATATAGTAAATGAGTTTAATGATTATTGTTCACGGGTGTTCACAGTAGAAAACACAAGTAACTTACCACCAATTACAGTAGTACGAATACAGTGTCGTCTATGACTAATATATGTATAACTGAGGCTGATGTGGTACTAAGCCTAGCTAAACTCAAAATAAATAAATCACAGGGCCCTGATTGCATCTTACCTGTTGTATTTGCTGGCGGGTGAGCGGGGAAGCAGGTGAGTCAAGCCGGTAAGACGGGCAAACGGGGTTTATTAGGCAATCGATAGGACAGCAGCAAATGAACATCAAGACATGACAATGATGGATCTGACGAGACGTACTCAGACGCGGACTAAATACACAAGACTAGCCAGAAATAACAGGACACAGGTGATCACAATCAGGAATTGACACGAGGTAATGAGGGGGCGTGGCACACACAAGGATCGTACGGAGCTGGGCGTGACAGAACCCCCCTCCCAAAGGCGCGCACACCGGGCGCGCCCGAGGAGAGGCGACGGACGAGACGAGACCGGGGAACAGGACCTGGAAGACAAAAGCAAAAAACATTAACGAGGGACCGGAAACAGAACAGAAACACAGAACAAGGACAAGGACAGGAACCAAGACAGAACCCGACAAAGAACAAGAAAGGCAGACAGAGAAGGGAGACACAGAGGGAACACCCACAGGCGACACGAAGGGGCCAGGAGTGAACAGAGGAGGAACAGAAGGACGAGGAGCAGAGACAGGCAGAACGAAGGGACCAGGAGCAGACAGGGGAGACCAGACAGGAACAGACGGAGGATAAAGGGGAGCCCGGGGGAACCCAGGTGGGCGAGGGAAGGCAGCCGCAGGGGCCACAGGCGAATGGGAGGATGGAGCCTGAGGGGACCACACAGGGGGCAAGGAGACAGACGGAGGGACCGACAAAGGAAACGAGGAGGGAACAACGGTGCAGGCAGGCAGTAGGGGGAAGCCGCGGCAGGAGAAGGCGCAGCCGGAGCCAGGGAAGGCGCCGTCCGAGGCCCAGCCGGAGCAGGGGGGCCCAGAGGCGGGCGACGAGGCGCCGACGGAGGGACCGCAGGTGGGCGACGAGGCACTGGAGAGGGACCCGGTGGCGAAAGCCGAACCGGCGCCGCAGGACCCGCAGGCAGCCACCAAGCCACAGCCAGGGGACGCACGGACGAGCCAGGGGGCAGGGTGGGCGGGACCCAGGCCCGACGTTTGTGTGCCCTCCCCTTACGAGACACGGAAAGGCGGGGTCCTAGGAGGTGTCAGCCTCGCCGAGGCAAGGGCGAGGGAGTCATGAGGGAGGTCCCCGAGGGGTCCCATTCGAGCTCCTCCTCCACCAAGGGGACTGGGACCAGGGCTTGGGGAACTGCAGTCAGGGCCTCCAGTGAGGCAGCAGGCGTGGCCACAGGCGGTGCAGCCAGGGTTGCGGGCGGTGCAGCAAGAGCCGCGGGCGTGGGCGGTGCAGCCAGAGCCGCGGGCGCGGACGGTGCAGCCAGAGCCGCGGGCGCGGACGGGCGAGCCGGACTGGACGGGCAGGACAGAGGAGCCGGGCTGGACGGGCAGGACAGGAGAGCCGGGCTGGACAGGCGGTGCCGTGGGAAGAGCGGTGGCCTCAGGAGGTGCCGTGGGAAGAGCAGCGGCCTCAGGAGGTGCCGTGGGGGGAGCGGCACCTTAAAAACAACCACTGTTGTTCCTAATTTACATTAATGATATTAATGATAATGATATTAATGACATTAATTACATTAATGATATTGACACCAATACATACAGTAAACTGGTTAAATTTGCAGATGACACCAAGGTGGGTGGTGTAGCACAAGGTTTCTCAACCCAGTCCTCGGGGACCACCAGACGGTCCACGTTTTTGCTCTCTCCCAATTGGCAGGGAATTGGGAGAGAGCAAAAACATGGACCGTCTGGTGGTCCCCGAGGACTGGGTTGAGAAACCTTGTACTATACCACCCACCTTGGTGTCATCTGCAAATTTAACCAGTTTACTGTATGTATTGGTG